TATGAAGTGTTATAAGGTTATAAGTAATTATAAGGAACTATTATGAAGTGTTAGCATCCTTATTAGGAGAAGGAAAATGTATGCCCTCAGAACCCAAGGTCTTCAAGAGTCATGGAGGGAGTTAAATATTACATTGGACCTGGGAGTGGTTTTGTTATGTTTTGAGGATCTTAAAGTAGGGGGAAATAATACACTGGGGAAGAAGAGGGAAACAATTGAATGTAACTTACTATCTCACATAGTTGAGATACACAAAGAGAAAACTATACAAATAAGAAAGAAGGGATGGATTGAGCTGATGTCACATAAATCTCATTTTCATAGGAACTGAGCAAAGTAACATGATCTTCCTCTCCACCCCCATACAAACAGAAAGAGTTTCATATACAAACACATTAAACTTAATAGGTGGTATTCCAGACAAAAGAAGGAACTAAGAAAAAGGGCAGAGCAGAGTCAAGATGGCAGAAGGAAAAAGAACATTTTTTGCCTATTTCACTTCACAACAACCTGTAAAATATGCCAGGTTGAATTGTGATCAGTAAAGCCAAGAAAAAGTCACAGTGAGAAATTTTTTCCAGCCCAGGCAGCTTACAAAGACAGAAAGGTCTGGAGATTCTGAGGTGGGAGATAGCCAGGAGTGCAGTGGGGCAGCATAGCAGCCACAGTGGGGATGAGGAGCATTTAAGTACTCAGGGATGGAAAAGGAGGCAATAGAGAGCACTAAGACAAGAATTACTGGGTAGAAAGTTATTCCAAGGGACCCTTGAAATTGTCCTGGGAGCAGAAACAGGTGCCATATGGTAGTTCTTTCACTCATTACCCACTTCAAGGTCACAGATCCAGGGCAGAGAGGAGCAGTCAGTCTTGAGCAAGTGGAGTTCTAGCTATATACTGAATAAGAAACAAGTTCCAGAAAGCTGTGAGGCTCCAGGAGCACAGTAGTGACTCAGTTATAATTTTCACCCTAGTACATAAACCTGCAGTAAAATAAACAGAGTAGAACCAAAAGGGAACCAGAAATTTAGTTGTTCTGAACTTATAGAATCTCCCAGCAAGTTAGTAGTGACTGAGTCGAGCAGCATTCTACTGAAAATCAACTACACAAAAAAAGCCAACAGACCCATATATTAGTTAGGAACTTGCAGAGCTCAGACCAGGAGGGCTGTGAACAATTCTACCTGAATCACAGAACTTTGGAATCAATGAAAACTTGCAAGCCCACAGATTGAGCTGTGAAAGCAACAGAAAGATACAACCTCTCCACCCAGAAGTCCAGGTCAGAAAGCTGCCCAGAAGTTAGCAGAGTTCAACATTAATATAAAGTCCAAAGTCCATCAATAAACATTTATTAAACACCTACTATGTAACTGGAACTGTACTAAGTGCTGAGGATACAAATATGAAGAAAGAAAAAGCAATGTCTACCCTCAAGTAGCTTATAATCTAAAGATGGAAGACAACACAACACACAAAAAGGAGCCAAAAAGTGTGTGTAGGAGATTTGGGGAAGGTTTCAGATGTGGGAGCATGGTGGAAAAGTCAGAATTGTGGGTAGGCCAAATAACAAATCATAGAAGCAATAATTTCATTAAAGGTAATGACTATAATGAGACAGCATACCAAAATTTGAAGGAGTTCAATGGGTGTGTGGAAAACATTGAATAGTGGCAAAATGAAAGACAAAGACATGGCTTAATGGGAGCCATTCTGTGAACAGTATTATTGGGTAGGGTGGAAAATTCTGGGGAGATCGAGAAGGAATACAGAACACTGTTAAGGAAAAGATTCTAGATTTATAGAATGACCACTCTGGAAGATATCTTAGAGATTGTCCCAAGTAAGTGGTTATTCAACTTTCACTAGAAGAACTCCTTTGGTGGAGAACTTACTAACTATTGACCGCAATGTCTTTCACACAGTAATATGTAATAATATTTTTTTCTTGAATTAAAGATAGTCATTTCATTTTCAGGCACCTCTAAAGCACTTTAACTCTAGATCTTATCATTGGCTGATATAACTTTCCAATTAAGACTAAAACTCTTCACCATTGCTCTTAAGGATCTTGACAACTTAGCCCCATGCTTCCTGATGGATCCACTTACATTGTCCAGATTCCCAATGTTCATCAACTCACTCTTTCCAGTACAAGTCAATATTCCCTACCCTACAGTAGACTTTACTTGAGACTTTACTCAAGCCAGAAAATCTTTCTATTTTACATCACAAAACAAACACAACTCGAATACCTTCTCATTCAACAAAACATACAAAAGCTGACTCAGATGCATTGATCGTGAGGGCTAGGAGGGAGTTTAGCAATTACCTAAACAAGGGCTTTCATTTTATAGAGGAAAAAAGTGAAGTCAAGAGAAGTGAAATGATTTGCCCAAAGTTACAAATCTAATAAATGGTAGAGCTGAGACTTGAGTCCAGTTCTTCTGACTAATATACTATATACTTAGATAACAAAGAGCTAAAGTCTAATCCTGATTAGGTTCTGTAATAGTGTGCTAGACCGGGACTCATCATAACTTGAGTTCAAATATGACTTTAAACATTATTAACTGTGGGACCCTGTGTACTATGAAACCTAGGCAAGTCACTTAACCTCTGTCTTCTTTTTCTTTTCTTTTTTTTTTTCTTTTTTCTTTTTTGGCTAGGCAATGGAGTAAAGTGACTTGTCCAGGGTTACACAGCTAGTAAGTGTTATGTATCTGAGGCCAGATTTGAACTCAGGTCCTCCTGAATCCAGGGCCGGTGCTCTATCCACTGCACCACCTAGCTGCCCCTTCTTCTTTTTCTTTATCTTTAAAATGAGAATAATAGCACGTACCCATCAGATTTGTTCTGAGGTTAAAATGAGATGACATTTATGAAGTTTATTTGTATATTATTGTTATTTTGTATTATTAAAGTATATTTATATATATATTTATTATTTATAAAGTTATTAAAGCTATTTAAGTACTTGCTATTCTGATCATCAGTTGGCTGGGTAATCTTGGGCAATATGCCTCACTTCTCTAGGACTATTTCCTCATTTATGAAATGAGAGTTTGAGACTAGATGGTCCCTGAGAGCCCTTCAACTTCCAACATTCTCTATGTTTCCAATCAAAAAAGAAAGTATTGAAAATTTCCATATGTAATCATTTAACCAATCAACAAGCATAAAGCACATATCCAGATATTTTGTTAAGTACTGATAAGCACTGATACAAAGACAAAATAAACCAAACCTTGTTCTTCAAGGAGCATACATCCCATAGGGAAAAAGAACATTTACACATATAAATACATACAAAATATATGCAAAATAAATTCAGGGTAACAGAGGATCACTGGTAGCATGGATTATTAGAAAAAGCTTCATGTAGAGGGTGATTTTTGAAATGAGTTTTGAAGGACACTGCAGATTCTGTGAGATAGTTGTGAGGAGGGAATAAAGGAAGAGGTGAGGAGGAAGAACCTGTTAAAAAGGCACAGAGACAGAAAATGAAGTTTCATGTCTATGGAGCAGAAAGGACAGTTTGGTTGGGTCATACACATGAAGGGTAGTAAAGTATACAAAGACAGGAAAGATAGATTAGAATCAGGTTGTGGTGGGTTTTAAATGTTAAAAAAAGCAGTTTAGTATTTGAACCTACTGAATTTATTGAGCTGGGAGCTGACATGGTCAGATCTATGCTTTAGGAATGTCACTTTGGTAGCTTTGGAGGGCTAGTAAGAGGGAAGGACATTGGGTCAGGGAAGGCAATTAGAAGGCTATTTCAGTAGTCCAGATAATAGATGATGAGAATCTAAAACTGGGTGGTAGCTTATCAGTGGAGAAAAGAGGATGAATGAGAGAGATGAAGTAGAAGTAGAAAAATCAAGATGGTGTATGGGGTAAGGGAGAATCAAGAATTGAGAATTTGTGATTTGAGTCTTTATTAGGGGAGGAATAGTGGTGCCCTAGACAGCAATAGGGAGATTATGAAAAGAGGTGGGTTTAAGGAAAAGGAATGAATTTTGTTTTAGGCATATTGAGTTGAGATGTCCAAGAAACATCCAATTTGAAATGTCCAGTAGGCAATTAGAGATGGATTTGGAGCTCAATAGAAACTGTGGATAAATACGTATGTGTATACATATGCATATATATATATGTGTATGTATGTGTGTATGCAGATGATTCCTAAAGATACACATACATGTGTATGTGTGTGTGTGTATACTGCATATAGATGCATATAGATGATAATTGGATTGTGAGTGTGTATATATATTATATATATGTATATTATATATAATATATATAATATACACACATACGTGTGTGTGTGTCTTTAGGGACCATCTGCATATCGATGATAATTGAAAACTGGAGAGCTGAAGAGACTACTAAAAGAGAGAGAGTAGAGAGTGAAGATGGTCCAGCACAGAACTTTGGGCAATACTCACAGTAGGGGGATGTGATGTAGATTATGATCCAGCAAAAGGGACTGAGCAGGGACAGTCAAAAAGTCAGGAGGAGAACCAAAAGAAATAATTATCACAAAAAAACCTAACAGAGGAGAAATTATCTCAGAGGAGAGTTTGGTCAATAATATCAAATGCTGTGTATGGAGTTCAAGATGGATTTAGATTGAGAAAAGGCCATCATATTTGGCCTTTTCTTGAGTAATTGCCTGCCTTTGGAGAGGAGAATTTCAGTTGTGTGATGTGATTAAAAGACAGATTACAAGGTTTTGAGAAATTGGAGGCAAGGAAGTAGCTTTTTATTTTATTTCCTGGAATCCATGCTCTTGTTCCAGTACAGAAGTTTGTTTTGTTTTGTTTCTAAATTCTATTCTGTGAGGAAAAAAAAACAAAAAACTAAAGAGGTAGATTTCATTTTTAAATAAATTACATTATTTACTAAAGGGAACTAAAAGTGTAATTGATGTGAAAGTTTAAAAGAAACATGGTGACATTTCTTCAATGGTCAAAAGTCCTCTTGTAATTCATTTTCAGGTTGTTCGTTTTATGTATCCAGTTATCCAGTATCCTCTCTTTCTGAAAATCAAATCTGAAGATAGCTTGATCCCAATGGAAGCTCCATATCTTGTTACCATATCTGAAGTGAATGAGAGGAAAAACTGGAAACTCAGTAAGATTTGCTTATTTCTAACTTAATTGTTAAATGCAGAATCATTAGGACTAGAAATTTACAAATGGAGAACTATCTATAAGACCCTGTGAATACACAAGAAGTGTCTTTGACTTCATGAGAAGTCCTTTGGAAAAGCAGTTAGAAATGGTGACCATTCTTGTTTTCCTCCTACTAATTTCATTTTAGCTTTAAGGTAATAATTTGGATTCTTTTATGTAAATATTTCAGGATTTCAGCACTCCCAGATATAAAGTTCAATTTTCAGCTACTTGTCTCAATTTGTCAGTGTTTTCTCTTTTAACTGTTTTCTTAATAACTCTTGACTACTGTTTGGTCAATGTTGTACCCAAATTTAGCAAAAAAATGGAAATGATATCATTATGAAAATTTATGGGTGACACAAAGCTAACATATTTTCTTAAAAATCAGAATATGAATAGATCTTGACAGGTTAAGATAGAAAATTGAAGCTAATATGATGAACTTAAATGTGGATAAATGTAAAAGTAATGTACTTGATTAAAAAAAATTAACTGCGTAAATACAGGATGGGAAAATCTGTGGCAAGAATAGATTTCATGTGAAAAAGCTGTCAGGGTTCCAGTTGATTGGAATCTCAGTATGAGTCAGTGACATGATAAGGCAACCGGAAATGCTGATGTGGTCTTAAGTTGCTCAGAAGGATCATGTTCAGAGGAAGGAAAGTTATAGACCTACTGTGCTCCATGCTTTATCTATAGCACTGTGCTAAGTTCTGGACACCACCTTTTGGGAGGAGCATTGATGATTTATAGTCCATCAACAGGTTAATAAGCAACATGGTGAGGATATGGGGTTTTTTAGCCTGAAGAACAGAGGACTATTTAACGTTTTAGTCCCAATTTTCTTATCTGTAAAATGAAACTGTAAAGTACCCTTGACTAAAATTCATAGTGTACATAGACAGCAACCACAGAAATTAACTTTGACAGGGCATAGACATGAATTAAATAAGAGATTGGTAGGTACAAATAAATTTAGATTACTTTATTCTACATCTATACAATAACGACTGATGATGAGGTTCCCATAAAAGTCAGGAGAGTGATGCTTAACTACATAGGGGTGCAAAAATGAAGAACAGAAGCTTTCTCTTACTCTGTCCACAATGAAAAGATCAATCTGAATTTGGGCTTGGAAGACCTGGGTTTAAGTGTCAATGCTGTCACTACCTGTGTGCCCTTGGATAAGTTACTAAAGTTCTCTGGGTCTCAGATTCTAATGTCTCTTTGAGTTCAAAAATTCAATATGCCTTCTATGTGCCCATATGATAAATTTTGAACTTTACAGAAAGTTAAGGGGGTAGTGCAGCTATATTACAGAGACTTTGGATGAGTCATATAGCAAAGATGATAGAAAATTGATAAATCATTTACCTTTACTAAAATGTATGAGACCAGAAGCATTTAATCAGCATACCAAAAACTTTATGATATATCAGAATCCCAGGATGTCAGAGTTGGAAGGAACCCCATAAGACCATCTAGTCCAACCTGATTCTAAAAAAGAACTCTCTCTGGTACAACCCTGCCAAGTGGTCATTTAGGTTTTGCTTGAAAAGATGTAATGAGGGGAACCCACCACCAAACACTCTCCACATCAAACCTGGGGAAATTTACTTGAGGCTTAGATTTTGCCTCAAATTTAGAGTTTCTCCAAGGTGGGAATTATAAAGGTATTCAATGTAAAATGTACATGAGAGTGGGGGTGGGGTAGGAAGAAAAGAGGGCTAGTGAGGGCAGATAAAATATCACTCAGGGTTTGCTAAGTCATCCCAGACTGATAGGTCCTTTAGTTCTGAGCCACGTGTATTCCTAATATTGCTTAGGCAAACTCAAGTACATGAACCATGGGCCCATGCAAAGCCTTTCCTATGGATGCTCCATGGGATTCAACCCTACTTTATAAGATAACCTAGGGTAAAGATTCTTAAAGTTTTTTTGTCATGGACTCCTTTAGTAGTCTGGCAAAGTCTATGAACCCTTTCTCAAAATAACATTTTGAAATGCTGTTTTAAATAATATTTAAACATTAAATATGTATGCTTTCAAAGAAAATCAATTCTATTAAATATTTATCAAAATATATTTTAAAAGTTTTACAGGCCATAGGTTAAAAATCTCTCTAACTTTGGGCTTTTCTCCTTGGAATTTGAAATGATTGGTACTCGACAGTGTATATGAGTAAAAATCATAATTCTAAGATAAGTTAAAATATGTCAAAAATAATTATAAAATTTCATATTCATGTAAATTCTTAAGAGAAATTTACATGCATTATTTTGTTTCTGAGACATTTCCATTTCTGAACTTTAGTTTCCTCATCTGTAAAATGAGACTGTTGGACAGATTTATCTCTAAGGTTCCTTTTAGGTCTGCAATTCTATAATTCAGTTATCCTTATCACAACTTTGTGTGTTATTATCATTCCCATTATGTTATTAACCCTCCTTTTTAGATCTAGTTCCCTCCCGCTCACTGCAGTAATCTGTAGTTTTTGTGTAAATTTTAGGAGTTTTAAAATGTGTAGACTTCATCAGTTTCTCTCTTGATCAGTTATTTGTTTCATTTTCTTCATTTGGTAGAAAATGCTTTTCCAAGTGAATGATTATGTAATAAATCAGTATCCCGTATTTTGAAAAAAAAAAAAAGGAAGGAAATCACCACACAAGCTTTATGTATGCAAGAGGATTATTAAAGGGTATTCTGTGTGGCTAACTGAAGCCTTAGGAGAGCTACAAACAGGAGATAACTGTGATGTTCTAAATCTGTGCAAATATTGGTGATGTAATTCTAAAGAAGATTTTGAACCTTTCTCCTTTTGTTCAAGAAAAGTCCCATCTATCATATCTGTAGAAAAGTTCCCATTGTTTCCAGGGTGTTGAGTTATAGGGAAGCAAGGTGTTACATACTGCCTTCACATACAGAATTACTCTTTGGGATGTTTGAGCATTGTCATTAGTTGAGGAGGCAAAGAAGAGAGGAAGAGAAATTGTGAGGTATTCTTATTCATCCTGTGACTGAATTTGGTCCTATTTTCCTGTATCTCCACAACTTGAATAGGTTTCTGAGGAACTCTCTTACAGATAGTCATGAGTTAATCCATTGAACACAGGTGGCAAAGTCTGTACAATTTCTGGACTTCTAATGTGACTCAACTCCTCTGAAACAGACTCAAGACTCTAATAATATGGTGAACAGATAAATATTCACTAAGAACCTTTGGTTGAGTACTTTGTATAATGGGGCATCCTGCATGTATAAAAATGGCCAACAGATCTAATGCTAAAATAAGACCTGACATAGTTGGTAACTCAAAAGTTATGATTCAGAGGTCTTAGTAAGCACATTGGTGGGAGTCTAAAATATTTGTTAAATATTTCTATGCTGAACTTTTTATTTTTATAGATTTAAAAGATTGGTAATGCTAGCTTAATCAATTTTAATAGAAAAGAAGACAGACTCAAATTTATGAAGAGATCAGTCATAAGTCATTTGTTTGGAACTTGGTATAAATTTTTTTTCCATAGAAGAATTATCTATGGTGGTCATGTTCCCAGGCCAGCCCCAGAGTCTATTGAACCTACAATGTACTTAATGTATAACAGTGAATTAATTATTGTGTGTTACCAGAGTGACTTAGATCAAATAATTTCACTTCTCTTGGTTTCAGTTCCCCATTTATAAAATAATTACATGTTTTGTAAGCCTTAAAAAGTTACATAAATGTGAGCTAAAGAATTTAACCACTGTGAATGATAATGTTTTGATGGGAAAACATGCATGCCTGAAAAAAAGTCTTGGTCATTTTACAGATCAAAAAATGACAGCTGAAACTGCAAAAATGAGAGAGTACTTAGAAAAATCCATTTCTGATACTGTGTATAATCCAAAGGATCTCAACCTGAGCATAACTGTAAGTTCATACTTTTTTTTGCTTATTTTCTTAATTTTATAATTTTGAATAAAAGTTTATACCATGTATTAACTAAATAAATATGCTTCTGTTTACAATCTGGAAAATATTTTTGGTGAGTGAAAGGAATATTATCTCCAGGTATATTGGAGCCATTTTCTATCCATGGAAAGAGTACAATTTCTTTTTCACTTTTTTTTGAGTTTTTAGAGTCACCATGACTTGTGTCCAAGAAAGTGCATCCTAGAAAGGGCCCTTTAAAGGATGGGAACTGGTTTTATATTGAAAATGAGATTTGTACAGCCCAGTAATTGTACTAGTTTTCTGTAAAATATTAAAAGTCCTAAAGGAAGGAAGGCCATCTATCTATTGTGGAGATTCTATATGGTATGGCTCATGGTAATATATGATCAAGAATGACATAGGATGACAAGTCATGGAGACGTGTGATCTAGGTTGTTGATGGTAGTGGCCATAATGTCAGGATGATGACTTCATTTGAATATTAATAGTTCTTGAGAGACTTTTGTGTATCCAAGACCTTGATTTAATTCTGAATTTAACTCTGGCTCCATGTGAACTGTATATGTGTGTATGTGTGTGGGTGGGTATTTCCTGTACCTAGGAGGTAGAATAGGCAGGTCCAATTTTTCATACTTGGGTGTACTGTAAGTCAACTCTCAGCTGCCGTATATATATATATATATGGCAAGGTGTGGGGGCAGGGTGCAAATTGGAAGCTGTGCTTCCCTGCAAACATTGTGTTTAGATTATATTTAATTAAAATGATGATTAAGGATGACCTTAGGGGGAAAAGGGAACTTTAGAGGCTACACAGAGCATGGAAAGGGCATATAGAAGGATAAAAATTTAAACTCCCTGTTATTTGTCGTTGTTGTTTTTGTTGAAAGCATGTGGTAATGAGTTGAATACTACACACACAGAAACACACACACACACTCGCTCACATACACACACACACACACACGCGCACACACACACACACACACACAGAGAGAGAGAGAGAGAGAGATGTTTTCTGTTTTTTAGCCCCAGTTGAATCACTGGCCAAAGATCCTCCATAAATCAGTCCTGCAGCAATAGAAATAACCTCACATTTACATAGCTTTTTAGAGTTGATAAAGTGCTTTTCTCTCAATTTTCAATTAAAAAATCTTTCAATTTAAAGTAATTTTCTCTCAACAACACTCACACTAGTAACATTATCCCTATTTTACCAATGAAGAAGCTGAGGTACTGAGAGCTTCAGTGACATTCGTCATTACATAGTTAGAGCAAAGATTTGAATTAAAGTCTTGACTCTCAGTCCATATTTCTTTCCATTACATCTTCTTTCTCATCAACTTGAAAGGCTTTATCAGACCCTGGTTACAATCCTGTTTCTAAGTAGTAATTTAATATACATGTGCTAACTGGGCTAAAAGACTTTTGTTTGTTTGCTTCTAAAAACCCTGGAAGCCAAGATGGGAGAGTATCAGAAAAAAGTAAAACAAGCTCCATCTCCTTCTTAAATAATCCAAATAATTCTAGAAATGCAGCAGACCAGGTCTCGACTGGGAAATCCAAGACAAATATGACACTAAGTCATTTTTCCAGCCCAGGACAAATACAAAGACCAGAGAGATTTGTGACAGTGGGAATGGGGTCTGGCTAGGAGTGTGCCATGCAGAGTATTCTAGCATATGGTCATGCACCAGGGAAAGCAGACATCTCAGATCCAGCATAGAGGGGCCTATACTTGTATGAGGCACAGGAGCAGGTGTCGGCTGGCAGTTCTGCCACTCACTATCCAGGTCCATGTCACAGATCCAGGGCAGACTGAGAAGAGCACCTGTGCCTATGGGTAGTATTTATGACTAAGGAGTGAGCCCTTTGCTGTATAACAAAGAACACTTTCAGAAGCAAGCAGCAGCTGGGTGACTCAGACCTGAGGAGGTTGGTCTCAGTTCTAACTTCCCAAACATTCTGAAGCCAGCAAACGAATAACTAGGGCAAGGAATCAGTGACTAAAGGGGAGTTTTGTCACTCTGAACCAGCAGGGAAGCAATCTACTGAAATTTCAAACTGGGCAAGCTAACAATTCTGTTGCTCAAACCTAAACTCAAGTCAGGAACTTGCAGATCTTATCCTAGGTGGGAATCAATCAGATTTTTTTCCTGGCTGAGATATCTCCACTTTGGGAGACTGAAAGCTTGCAAGTTCCCAGACAGAATTGTATTTGAGGTCTTAGAATAACAGAACCCTTATGGTTTCTTCATCTGTAAAATGAGCTGGAGAAGAAAATGGCAAACCACTCCAGTATCTTTGCCAAGACAACTCCAAATGGGACATGAAGAGTCAGACACAACTGAAATGACTGAATAACAGCAATACTGAAAGAAATCAACATCAGGACTTGAGAGGACATAAGCTCAGCCCAAACATTTCCCCCTAGAAATGTGAAGAACTCAGACCTTAAATAAAGACCTTTCAAATTTTCTTACACGTTACTCCCCACCACATACTCTTTGACCCAGTGCTTCCTGTTTGTTTCACAAACAATATACCCCATCTCTCAACTCCAGGTAGTCTGGCCGTCCCCCATACCTGGAATATTCTCTCTCTGCATTCACACTACTGATTTCTCTGGCTTCCTTTAAGTCCCAACTAAAATCTTATCTTCTACAGGAAGCCTTCTCCTACCTCTCTTAATTCCATTGCCTTCTCTGTGTTAACTATTTCCTATTTATCCGGCATATAGTTTGCATTATATATATATGTATTTGTTTGCATGTTGACTTCCCCATTATCTAATGGGGAAGTTCCTTGAGGACAAGTACTGTATTTTGCCTTTTTTTGTGTTCCTAGCAATTAGCACAGTGCCTGGCACATAGTAATTGTTTAATAAATGTTTATTAATTGATGTAACTAACTGGCTTTGGTCACTGAATGAACTTTTGTGATCTTAAGCATTTTTATTTCTTTTTAAAAAATTAGCATTTTATTTTTCCCTAGTTCCATGTAAAAACAATTTTTAACATTTGTTTTTAAAACTTTGAGTTCCAGATTCTCTCCCTTTCTCCCTCCCCACTCCCTCCATCAAAGGCAAACAATTTAAAATAGATTATAAATGTGTAGTCATGCAAAACATTTCCATGATAGTCATGTTGTGAAAGAAAACATAGACAACAACAACAAAAAAAAATTCAAGAAAAATAAAGTGTAAAAATGTATGCTTCAATTTGTATTCGACACCATCAGTCCTTTCTCTGGAGATGTATAGCATAAGTCCTTCAGAGTTGTCTTTGATCATCATATTGCTGAGAATAACTAAGTCATTCACAGCTAATCATCTTATAATATTGCTGTTACTTTGTGCATAGTACATTTCTCTTTGCATCAGCCCATGCAAGTCTTTCCAGGTTTTTCTGAGAGCATCCTGCTCATTATTTCTTATATTACAATAGTATTCCATCATAATCATATACTACAACTTATTCAGCAATTCCCCAATTGACAGGTATCCCTTCAATTTCTAATGCTTTACTCCTATTACTTAAATACATTACTTAAATATTTTGTACCCATAGGTTCTTTTCTTTCTTTTTTTTAATCTCTTTTGGGATACAGACATAGTATTAATATTGCTAGGTTAAAGGGTATGCATTTTTCCCACATCCCTTCCAACATTGTCATTTACCTTATCTGTCCTATTAGCCAATCTAGTATGTATGAAGTAGTACCCCAGAATTGTTTTAATTTGCATTTCTCCAATCAATAGTGAGTTAGAGTATTTTTTCATGCAGTTATAGATAGCTTTGATTACTTCTTCTGAAAACTGATCATATCTTTTGATTATTTATCAATTGGAGAATGGCTTGTATTTTTATAAATTTGACTCAGTTCTCTATATGTTTGAGGACTTTATCAGAGAAATTTGCTTCAACATTTTTTTCACAGTTACTATTGCTAACTGTATTTCCCTCTATCCTATGCCTCTGTTTATTCTATTCTCTCTCTCCTTTCACCCTATCCCTCCTTAAAAGTGTTTTGCTTCTGACTACCCCCTCCACCAATCTTTCCTCACTTATATCACCCTCCCTTCTCCCCTTCCCCTCCTACTTTCCTGTAGTGTAAGATAGATTTCTATAACCAGTTGAGTGTGTATGTTATTCTCTCTTTGAAGCAATTCTGATGAGAGTAAGATTCATTCATTCCTCCTTCTCTCCCTCCTCTTCCCCTCCACTGTAAAAGCTTTCTCTTGACTCTTTTTTTTTAGGCAATTGGGGTTAAGTGAGTTGCCCAGGGTCACACAGGTAGTAAATGTCAAGTGTTTGGTCTGAGGCTGGATTTGAACTCAGGCTCTCCTGACTTCAGGGTTGGTGGTCTATCCACTGCACCACCTAACTGCTTCTTTCTTGTGAGATAATTTACTCTGTTCTACCTCTCCCTTTCCCTATGAGGCATTATCTGCTTTCATTCAAATAATTCCTACTTCATACTTTTCATTGATTGATTCATTGGGGTGTCTGGGAATTACATATTGTTTGCATCTTTCAATGATTCTTTAACTCAAAGAATATTTTGACCCTAATAAAGTTATGAAGACACATAATTTCTTGGTAATTATATTAATTGGAATGAGGGATGTGGGACATTGCTCTTACATTAGCTATTTCCCAGGGCCAAAATACATTACATTTCCTAGCTACTAACTGCTTAAAAAAAAAAAGAACCAGTTCTTGAATCCTTCCAATGTAACCTCTGCCTTAATATAACCCAGAGTTTCTCCTTTTGTCTTTAGAATGTTGGGAATAAACATGTTATGCCATACATATTCCTAATAACTGACTCCCCATAAATGATTATGAAGACTCATATTGCTACTAGTTGCTAATTATTCTATGTCATTTTTCCACAGGGTTCTGAGTTATACCACTTCAGAGTGAAAGTTATTCCTGGAGTCACCTTTTGTAAATTAGTTACTGAGTTTCAGGTATGGTCTAAATGAGGCTGAAGGTTTAATGAAAATAATGGGAATAAATGTAAATTTTTGACTAGGAAAATTATAAAATTAGAAGTAAATCTAAGAGATTGAAGAGAAAACAAATTGACGGAACTTGGAGAATAATTTGAATGGAGGATGGGAAAAGATGATGTAGGTAAAAAAGTATAAGAGTTTGAGCCTAGTCACCAGAAGAATGATGGCCCTTCCCATTGGATGGCATTGTGGACACAGATAAGTTGGCAGGTCCTGTGTAAAGTTAGAAGGTTGGGCAGTTTGTCTAATTAGTACTAAAACTGATAAACTTGATCTCATTTATATAGTACTTTAAGGTTTACAACATAACTATGCAAAGAAGATGGTGTAAATATATATCCCAAAAGTCTTAGTGCAATTTTAAGCTTTAATAGCCAGTTAAGCCCAGTACAACTTAAATAGCTTAATACAAATACAAATAGCTTAAAACTTTGGGACACCCTGTATTTACACCATCTTCTTTATATGATAATGCAACTTAAATTTTAAGTTTTAATAACCTTGCATTGAAGATTTATAGACTAGAAAACAGACCCATATAAAACCATTTATATGACCACAGGGTCATATAACTGCATAATGAGTCAGTATAGGAACCCAGGTCTCCTGGCTTCAAGACAGTGCTTTTTAATACTATACTTCTGCTTCTGCCTGTTTTTCTCCCTCCTAACAGTTTCCCTTCCCCAAATGAACTTTGACATGTCCCCTTATAGTTTAAACTTATGGCTTCCTTAGGCCTTTGAAGTTTTGAATAACTAAATTGCATAGGATATGACCAGCAAAGACAGTGAACTTGCCTCAGGCAAGTGTCTTAGGACCTTTGTCCCTAGGCATTCATTTTGCATAAGATTAAGCAGAAATCTTAGAAATATAATAGGATGGCCATCACAAGTTAGAGTTGGGTTCTCTCTCAAAAGGAATTGACTTCTGAACCAGAAAGTATTTTTGGATACAAGGGGCCAAAAAAGCATTGTAGCAGCACTCCAGCCAAGAGTGAGGCTGGAGGTGGTAGAGAGTAGTATTTATTAGCCTGAGTAAGGAGCAAGCCCAGGGAAGCTTCCCTTCCAAAGGAGATGTTATCCCTGAAAGGAGTCAGGCTCACTTAGCAGCAAAGTGACCTATCCATTCTCACCATGTAGTCAATTTAGTGAACACTCAAGAGAAACAGTTGAAAGTTATGAGTTGACTTGGCCACATGTGGAATGTACTTTGGTGCCTCAATAGGTTGTGCTGTTTTGTAGTCATTCTTCCTTTCCTGGACTCTGTGTTTTTATTGCAGAGGGTGTCACAGTTTTTGGAAGGAATGCTTTATAACTTCTGCTCTTGTGCCACCATTTGAATAATTCCCTTTATAAGAGTTTCAGGTACAATACAGGTTCTGGGTCTGAAGGAGGCTGAAGGCTTAGTGAAAATAATGAGAATAAATGTCAATTCTTGACTAGAAAAATTACAAAGTTAGAAATGAATCTAAGAGATAGAGGAGAAAACAAACAGGCATGTCGTGGTGAATAGTTTGAATGGGGGATGGGAAAGGATAGTGTAGGTAAAAAAGTATAGGGTTTTTAGACCTAATTGAATCTATAGACTAAATGGAGGCTTATGGGGAGTGGTTCATTACATACAGATTTAATGTATATTGATTCAAAATGAAAATAAGCCAAACTCTCCAACTTCTGTTAAAATGGTCTGCTGAAGCATTGCCCAGTTGGTACCCACTGCTTTCTAGCCACCGTTACTCTTGATGGTGTTTTACTAGTGAATCCAGAATTCAGAATGTAAGGAAGAAGCCAAAAAAACACATTTATTCTCCCTTTTGTCTAGTCCTTTTTATTTTATTTCTTCTGGGCTAAACCCTTAACTTTGTGGGCTTGAACTTCTTAAAGTTCAAGCTGTGCTCCTAATACAATTAGCTCAACTGGAAAACATTTTATCAAACAGCATAGTTTGAACAAAACATTCCCTCCATCACCCTAGGGAATACTCTTTTCGAAATCCACAAAGTGTCAGTGAGAAGGGTTGCTATACCTATAGAGTAGAGAGCACACTTTTGATAAACACTCATAGCCCAGGTAACTCATACTTCTAGTACTAGAGTCCCATGTCCTTTCTTTTTCATGATGATGTCTTTGGGGGAAGCAGTTCCCCCTGGTTGAAGTGTCTCTTCTGAGAAGGACCATTCATCTGAATTACCTGGGCCTGTTTCTCTCAACAGTATAGCTCTCATTGGCGAGGTCTCGTCTTAACTCATAGAGATAACATTATGCTTCTCAGAATTGTCTCTTCCTTTGATTCTAGAGCCTACCTCCTATTGTGTGTTTCTACTGGTCAAGTTAGATGATTATGACCAATGTGGGAGGAAAGAGGAGACAAAATTCCAGTTCTTCCTCCATAAGTGAACCTTTGCTTCTGTCAGAGGTCACATTCACCAGAGCTGCCTCTTGTCTAGACTACCTTTTACAGAGTATGTCTTATCAGGCAGAGCCAAGATGGCAGAGTAAGGCAGGAACTCTCTTGAACTTTCCCCATTTCCTGTCCAAACAGCTTTACAATTATACTTCAGAATGAATTCTGTAGTAGCAGCAAAAAGATGTGGTGAAACAGTTTCTCAGCCCAAGACAACTTAGAAGGTTGATAGGAAAGATCTGTCTCACTGAAGTGAGAGTGGAGCTCAGTCCAGCAAGTGGACAGCCTGGGTAAGCCAACAGTAGGCCATAACTCAGCAATCCAGGAGCCTGTGCCTGGCCCGCACTAGAATCAAGGCTTAGGCTCCACTCCTCAGCACAAGTCAACAGCAAGCCCTGCCCCAGCAAACCAGGGCAGGCCTTGGGGGTAACTGAATCAGCAACTGTGATTCCTAGAGATCTCAGCCCGCAGAAGGTAAGAGGGCCAGAAAAATGGTCGAAGGAGGTTACAGAGGACACCTTACCGGCACTGGGTACAGTATTCTGTCACATTGCTCAAATAGGGATCCATTTCATTGATGCAGGTCACAGTTCCAGGGTACAGAGGAGCACTAACACACTAGAGCATGTAGCCATAGGGGAGCAGGGATCCTGCTTACACTCCAGGGTGGAAAAGAGTGCTTGTGGTTGCTCACAGACCAGAGAACAGGCCAAGATAGCAGTGACCACACCTCTCCTTAGAACATATCACTTTAGAAGAACTGGAAATTGACAGGTCCCCAGAATTAACTCTGAAAATAGGAGCACAAAAAAAACCTGAAGTTTGGGACAGTACCTCCTCCACACCAGGAACAGAGCCCAACTTTAACACAAAAGTTAAAACAAGGCTGGAAAAATGTACAATATAAACAACCAACAAAAAAAAAAGAATCTGACCATAGAATGTTACCATGGTGACAGAGAAGATCAAAACACAATCTCAGAAGAGGACAACAATGTCAAAACAGCTACATATGAAACCCCAAAGGAAAATGTAAATTGGTGTCAAGTCCCAAAAGAACTCCTGCAAGAGTTCAAAAAGATTTTAAAAATCAAATAGAAGAGGTGGAAGAAAATTTGAGAAAAGAAATGAGAGTGATGTAAGAGAATCATGAAAAAAGAGACAATAGCTTGCTAAAGGAAATACAAAAAATGGAAAAAAAAAAGATGTACAAAAATTCACTGAGGAGAGTAGATCTTACTTGGTTAGGTGCATTACAATTCTATTATGATCAGAGAACATAACACTTGGGGAAGGGGCAACAAAGTATAAACTCTAACTTATATTTCATTTAAGACCTTAACACCTCAACTCTGTTACCTCTCCTTTTACATTCTGTGACTGCATCAACTGGGTTGGGGAGAAAATTGATTGGGAATTCCTTGTTCAATCTCCTCCCACCACACTACATGTAGCAAAGAATTTCCTGGGAGCCTACAGGGCAATCCTGACATGTGTCCTCTCTCTGTTACCGAGGTTAGTGTACCATAGAGGCGATCTCATTTCTGATAGATGGTTTCAGAATGTCTAGCTCCCTCTGAATAATTCTGGGCCCATGGATATAATTCAAATAGAAAATTAAAGGTCGCTCTCCAGATGTATACTGTATACTAGCATATATTTTCTAGGAGGCACCATCATCCAGGCCACAAATCCTCTCACATCCCAGAATTTTAATTTATCCACATGCTGTACTATAGCTTCAGGAGCTTCAGACTCTGGATTACATGAGGCCAAAATTTCTCAGACTCTTCTAACACACACTTGCTACAATGCTTCTCATAGCCTCCTGGGCTAGATCCCAAGCCATCAAATGACAGCACTTGCCTCTGTTTCCCTCTTAATTCTAAAGCTTTCCATCAACTCAATATACTTTTAAGCTATTGATGTATGTGGCCAGTTATTAAAATAATTTTGTTTTTGCGTCTGTCCTGCACAAATGTTTCTTTTAAAATAGGTGACTGGCTGTTTCTAAGAGTGGATGGGCATATTTATTTCAAATAAAGCACAGGTTTGTTGTCCACTGAACTCTAAAGAGAAGTAGTGTGACAAGGTAGATAAAGTGCTGAGGATGGTTCAAATCCTGACTCCAACATCTTATTAGTAATGTGACACAGGATGATCATTTAACTTAGGAGGCAAATGGGCCAGTGGAAAGAGCACTAGATTTGAAGTCAGAGGCATCTGGACAGAGGGCCTACCTCTTAGTGAAGTTGAACAAGTTATATAACATCTTTGGGCCTCAGTTCCTCACTTTCAAAATGAAGGGTTAGATTCCATAACTACTAAAATCCCATTTCTCTCTCTCTCTGTATATATATATATATATATATACATATATATGTATATATGATTCTATGACCTTATGAGTCTCTGAGTCTCATTTTCTTCATCTTTGAAATGAAGACAATTCTGCCTCTAATGAGGTTTATAAAGATTGTTATGAAAAGGACTATGCTATATAAATGGAAGCTTCTATTAATTTATCAACTAAGGGGATCCCAGAGTATCCCACTGGCTTTAGTGAGTAAAACTAGGATCTGAAATGCTGTTTTTCTTTCTGTTTCAGATTTATGTTGATAATGCACCACTTCCATTTCCAGGAAGACTGCTTATTGCTTCTATAGCAGCTGTAATTTTAGGAGGAATAATTCTTGCAGTGTTTATGGTGGAATTATTTGATATCCATATATGGTTGCTGCTTAAAAATCTGGTAGTAAGAAAGAACAAAGTGGCTTCATCAAGATCCTCTTTTGATGTAGAAGATTAAATAGAATTATACATTATGAGACAAATGAAGAATAACATGAAAACCACAGCAATTTCTTCCCCCCCCACTGTTCTTTAGTCTTTTCAATAATTCCTAGAACAAGACTGGTTAAACATACAAACCAAATGATAATACAGAATTAGTATTTCTTTTAGAATTCAATTAATTATTTCTAAATATGCTTTAATGTTTGCTTTTATAAATTGAACTATCCAACTATTTTGTTAATATACAATTGAAGATTGTTATGTATTTGCTGTTCATTTTTCTATCCCCATTATTCACTGACCTTTTTTGCCTCTGAATAAAAAAAATGGATTCCCTTATACTAAATATCATTACTGTCATTTACATTGTTTTTGAATTTCTAGTTGCATGATATGTTTTAGGCCAACCTTGTAAATTTTATTTAATGATATCTCTTTGCATTAAGCATTTTTCCTGAAAGAAACATATTGATGGGTTTTATTTATTAATATAGTCTGTAACTTTTTTAAATGTGAGAACTCAGACCATTCAAATTTATTGATATAAATAACAAAATTGATTTTTACTGTTATTTTCTTACTTTTTTGTAGCCTTGCATGAGTAAAATTTATCTTCATATTTTATATTTTTATCAATTGAAATTACCAAATAAAACAAGTTTTATTTCTTTAAAAAAATTGCTTTTTTTTTTTACTTTCCTGAGGTTAATCCCCTCACATCCTGCAAATTGGCAAAGATGACAAAACCTGAGATCGATCAGTCAATGCTAGAGAGTTGTAGAAAGATAGACTCAGTATATTATTGAAGTAGCTGTACATCAGTACAGCATTTGGAAAGCAATTTGTAATTACGCAAATAAAGTGACAAAATATTTGTACCCAGAGATTTTACTATACTAACAGTATACTCTGGGTATGAATATTTTGTCACTTTATTTGCATAATTACAAATTGATTTCCAACCTATTGTGTTTACCCACCTTGTTTGAAGACTCATCTTACTTTGTCCAATTCATAATAGGCAATTCAGGGTGAAAGATGATAGTATGGTCTTATATTATCCTCTCAGTAGCAACAAAGACCCAGGAGCAGGAGAATAACTGATTTTACAAGTGGCATAGTGAGCAGCTACTTTCAAAAGCTCTAAGCATTTATCGGTTATTTGGCCTGGTCACCTATTGGTCCCTATCAAAGGCTCCACTCTGCTTAATCTTTGTTGACATAGACAGTCATAAGGGCATAAGTGGTGAGGGGTGAGGAGAGAATACTGGACAGTCTATTTTTGTTCTTCCAGGGCTATAGCCTATTCCACTTAAAAGAAGCAGGTTTGTGGGTGACTTAATGAATGGGATTCATACTTAAGTTGGGAAGGTGAGTTCTTCAGAACTTAAAAATTCCAATTTGCTTCTAGAATTTCTTTTTTTTTGTATTATAGGGAAGCCCGTGTCAATAGCTTATTCTGAACTGTCCAGAATTACCTGATTTCTTATCCACTGTATTCCCCCAAATTTTAATGAGTAGATTGGACTGTGTTTTTCCTTCAGGTTAATTTCCTACCACTTGTCTCTTATACAGTTTGCCATTTATAGGGCCTCAGTCATTTTAACCTGGGTCAATATTATGTCATCAATGTAGTGGTGTATCCCAATCCCCAGAGGAAATGATGCTTCTTTCAGGTAACTGCTCACCAGACCATAGCAGTATGAAGACCAATTTATGTAGACCTGAGGAAGGGCAACTAAGGTACAACACTATACCAGACTCCAACATAGATGAAAGCAAACTACACCTGACTGGTCTCAGTTATTGAGAAAAGAGGGAAGAAACACATTAATAAGGCTGATTACCCTATATATTCACCCTATGTAATTCACCATTGATTAGGTCAGGAATAGCTGCATTGATGGGCACCAGGTGCCATCTGCCTTCTTAACTGGCCACACCAGGTTTTTGTAAGGGAATTTGACATACCAAAGTATTTCAGCCCTCTTCATCTTCATTACTAGAGACGAAATGTAATTTTCACCTTCTATTCCCCCCCCTTCCATGGGACCTGATATTACTCAGTCACCACAAGGGTTGACCTTTGGTCCTACCCACAATAAATTGACATTGAATTTGTGAAAGGTCAAGATGAATACTGACTTCCCAGAGCTCATAATGTCCATTCCCATAATATGCTCCCTCTGATTAACCACCACAACTGTGACCCACACAGGGGGGCATCTGTCTACTTCCAACTGGGCAAGAATGAGCCCTCAGTCATCTGTCTCTGGAAGCCCCCTCTGGTAATTAGGGTGCTATATTCACTCAGAATCCCTTGGTATGCTAATAACCTAGTTTTCAGTGTCAAGCAGCCCACTTTACACAGGACTTCTCCCCCTTTCTAGATCATCATAGATTGGGGATATAGCCTCTGGAGCTCTTAAGGTAATACAGCTACAATGATACAAACCTCAGGGGAACATGCTAGTCCCCAATCCTATCTGAAATGCTCCTTTCATTTCTGTGGACAATTGTGTGGGCATTAGATGCATTAGTTATCCTCTGACCTTTAGTGCAAGATACTTGAATGCTGAGAGCTCTGGTTCTATTTGCTAAATATACTGAGTCAGCTTAGTTCTAGTTTTAGAATACTTGCAATCCGACTTCTAAAGAATAATCAATAACAATTGAGAAGTGCTAAACTTGACACTCATTCTAAGGTCTGACAGATAAGAGGAAAATTAGGAGGGAGTAATAGCACAAAAACCTAGGGAATAGATATCAAGGAGAAAGGGTGATAAAAATCAAGATAGATGATTGAGAAGAGGCCATTAGGTTTGGCAATTAAAAGTAACTTTGGAGAGGTTAGATTCAGTTGAATAATGAGGTTAAAAGCCAGGCTGCAAAGAATATAGTGGAAAGGAATTAAAGACACCTTTTCATTATAGATGACCTTCTTAAGGACTTTTGCCACAAAAGGGAGAAGAAATGGGATACTGGATGGATCAAGTGAGAGATTTTTGAGGATTGAAGAGGCATGGTTTTTTCTGGGTGTGGAGGGAGAGACCAAAAGAGGTCTTTATTCAGATTATGGAACTGGATGTAGTCTTAGTAGTAGACAGAGCCAGGAGGTGATATAGACTTTTTTGTGAGCAGTAGTAAAGCAGTCAGTAGACAGGGAGACATTGAAAATTAGAGTGGGGATGATAGAGGAGGAATCTGCTGGAGGAGATGGGATATAATGGGATCACTTGTTCAGGCAGAAGGTTCTGCCTTGGCAACGAGAGGAGTCACTTCATTATGAGAAACAAATATCAAAGGTGGCAGAGGGCATCTGAGAAATGTGAGTTGAGGAGCAGGTGAAAAGAGAGAAGTCTTAGGGAATACCCTCAATATTTTCAGTGAAATACGAAGCAAGGTTCTCAATTAAAACAGTGGAGGAGAGGGAGAATCATGGGAGGCTGTGAAAGAGATGAAAAATTTAGAAAAGCTACTGTTGTGAGTGGGGTAATCAACTGATTTGAGAAGTATAAAAGGATTTCTTTGCCCTAGTGCGGGCCCAGTTGGGACTATCATATAAATGTGTAGTGGACACAATCAGCATAGCTTTATGATTTTCTCGAGCATCATTTTGCAGCATGTGAGTAGTAGTGAAGATAGCAAATTCTGGGAATGAGATTTAGTAGGGCAAGATCAGTTACAGGAAAAGGGTCAAAGAACCCAAGAGAATAAGACAATGCAGAAGTGAACTAGTTCACTAAGGAGACAAGATGGGAAAGGGTAGGAATGGCATTTTAAAGAATTCCATCTATATCTTAAGCACTTAGCAACATGCCTAGAACATAGTATTTATTTAATACTTGTTGAATCATTGTGGTATAGGAAATTCATTCAAAACATCACCCCTAAGGTCTATGACACATTTTCCCACTAGTTCCCAAAGTTCCCTTTCCTTTTCCCAAAGTTCAGGGGAAATTGAGTTCAAGATTAGAAAACACATGTGGCAAAGAGATAATGCACAGCACTTGGTTGATGGAAGTCCTTTTCTTTTTAGTTTGGCACAATTTCTTTTCTGGGTTCTTTTGTTGGAGCCATGACTATATGTCCAATTTGTTCTTGTCTTGTAATACAGACACTACCATCACTTTAATTGGGATGTGGTAAGGACACCTAAAGGAAATTCAAAATCCTCCAAACCCTTTGAAGCTTATAGGGTTCTTCTCTAGGCAAAGGAGAAAGAGGAAGGACATCTAGGCTAAAGCCAGAGCCAGTGTCTCCTTCCCCCATCTAGGCAACTTCTTCACATGAGATTTAGCTGAAGACTGTAATTCCCCCAGCATTTTGAGAGAATCAGTTCTAACTAGTTTGATAATTATAGGTAACCCTTTCCATGAGGGAAAAAGAAGAGTTCAGGAACATTGAGTTTGTGAACATTAGTAACTGGAAAAGTGGTAATGTCCTTGAAAGAAATAAGGAAATTGGGAAGAGAGATGGGTTTTGAGTGTGAGATAATGGACAAGATGAGGTTGAGATTTCTATGGGGCACAGAGGTACAAATAATCAGTATTCATTTGGAAATGGATCAGAGCTTAAGAGAGAGATGATTTGAGAATCATCTTCATAGAAATGAAAGTCAAAATCTGTGTGGGGAGATGATGATGATGAAGAGAAAGTGGAAGAAAAGAAGAGGACTTAAGATAGATAACTGATGTACATTCTCATGGAAGTGGTGGGAAGTGGATGATAATCACACAAAGGAGAGAGAGGAATGGTCAGAAAGGTTGGAGGAAAACCAAAATAAAGTAGTATTATTATTTTCAAACTTAATAAATATCTTTGCATTTTTTATTTTAATTGTCTCTGGAGATGGGGTAAATTATTTCATTACTTATTCTTTCTAGTGTAGTTGTATTTATTTTTCTTGTGTTTCTGTTTGGTTTCTTTTTAAAGTCACAGAACATGCTAACTTCTCACCTCCCCTCTCCACTTGCAGTACTTTAAATGCTTCTTCTTCTTCTTCTTCTTCTT